TATATGATCTTGGATACACTCTCCATTTAGACATACCTAATTGTTTAGCTTGTTCACCCATCTATCCGTCCCTATACCCATGTTTACTGCATGCTTTTCATTGTTGAAGCTTTAGAATATGTTTTAACATTTGGTGAAGTTCCTCCCCGTTGCTCTTCTTTTTCAGAGTCTTCCTGGATATTCTTATTTCCTTATTTTTCTGTATAGTTGTTTGGTTCAAGAAAAAGAATGTTGATATATTTATTGGGATGTGTTAAAAGTTATACATTTACTTAAGGATAATTGTTATCTTTCTGATGATGAGTCTTTCTACTCACAGGACATGCTCTGTCTTTCACTGTGCTCAGTATACTTTTATAATCTTTTCTTCTGCAATGTTGTTGTATTTAATACACACTTTTAGAAATACAAAAGCAAAGAGAAATCAGTACAGTAAAGCCCATACACTTTTTACCTAGATTAAATAGAATTAAAATTTTTCCACACATCCCCTCCCTCTTTGTTTCCTGAATTATTTAAAGTAGTTCTAGACAGCATGTCATTTCATTCCCCAAATACTTCAGCATGTATCTTTTAAAAATATTGATTTCTTACAGAACCCCAAAGCCATTGTCACACCTAACAAAATTATCAAAAACCCTTTATTATAATTTAATACCAAGTTCATATTCAAATATCTACAATTGTCTCAAAAAAAAATCTGGTTTGAATCAGTATCCAAATAATGTCCACACATTGCGTTTGAATGTTACATACATTCATTATCTTTTAACCTACAGCAGAATCCCTCCCTTGTTGATTTGCTGAAGAAACTGGGTCAGTTGTACTGTGAAATGCCCCATGTTCTAGATTTATTTGTTTGCTTCATTGTGGTGTTAATTAGTTCTTCTATCCCCCATATTTCTTATACATGGAAGACAGCTATAAATTCTTGATAAGATTCACATTCAACTTTTTTGTTAAGGATACTTCATAACTGCACTTCGTATTAAAAGAGCCCTGATGTTGCAATGGTTAAATGCTAGGCCGATAACCAAAAGGTTGGCAGTTAGCTATGGGACATATCTGCTCTGTCCTATAGTCTCTATGAGTTGGAATAACTCAACAGCAAACAACAATAGCTTTATATTATATTTCATACCAACCAAAAAACCAAACTCATTGCTGTCCAGTTGGATCCGACTCACAGCGACCACTCCTTGAGTTTCCAATAGGGAGATATTTTTCTGATTGTCTCATTTTTCAGTGATGCTAGGGCAGATCAATGGGTTTAGATGATGAACATTAATGCACTTCAAAATATTTCTCATACACGTATTGCACATATCTTGTAAGTTCACTCTTAAGTATTTAATATTTTCGGTTGCTTTTGTAAATGGAGGTTTTCTCTTCCATTGTATCTTCTAACTAGTAGTTATTTGCATATATGAAGGGTATTGATTTTTACATATTACTTTTATATTTTGCTACTATGCTGATTTTCTTAAATCTTTTTAGTAGTTCATTTAATTCTTGGGATTCTTGAGTTTTCAAATAAAGATGGTTTTTTCTCTTGCTTTCCAATTCTTATAACACTAATTTTATCTAATTGAGTTGGCTAATATATCCAACAAACATTAATTAAGAGTGGCAATGGTGGGCATCCTTTTCTTTCTGCTGACTTCAGTGAGAATGTTACCAGTGTTTCCCCATTAAGTAAAACGCTGTCTTTTGAAGGAGGCATTTTATTAAAAAGTAAAAAATTTAAACCTGATTAAGCGAGAAGCCAAAAACACCACCCTTTGTCTATATTGAATCAACATATTCTATCATTAAATAAATAGGCTGGTTAAATTAGACCAATGAAATACTGTCAACTGATGGAGAAGGGTGCATACCTTTGCTAACGTTTTGACAGCTCACTTCAGTCTCAACTCCAACTGGCGAGGCAGTTGCAAGGCTGGTGGAAAAAGCAGTAGCTCTGGGGACCAAAAAGTCTATTTTGAATCTTACCAGCAGTGTGACCCAGAACAGGTCACTTCCACTCCCTGTGCCTCAGTTTCCTGATCTACAAAGTATACGTGACAATTCTAAGTCATAGGGTTGTCATGACAAATAAAATATCTAAATATGTAAAACCATGTATTTCTGGATCTAGCAGATAGCAACCACTCAACAAACATTTGCTGAATAGGCAAATGTTAAGAAAATAAATACATATAAATCACTTTTATTTTTTGCTGAGGTTTAAAATGGTAAATGAAGAATGAGTTCTCTCTTTCCCTCTCTCTTTTTTCCACTTAGTTTATTCCTTGA